AAACAACTCAGAGTTGATTAAACCAACTCTTTTCAGCTGTTCTGAAACCGAAAACTCAGAGTTTTCCAACTCTGGGTAAGTCAACTCAGAGTTCAGGTTTGAACTCTGAGTTTGTTAAACCACCTTCTTGAAATAGGCCCCAGCAGCACCAGTGAATGTGGTGTCCGCACCGTAATGTTTGAGTTCAGACCCTGGTTCAGCTTATTGCTCTGTGCTGTAGACCTCCACTGTTGATCACCAGCTAGTTTTCACCAGCGCGAGGAGCTGGTGGAGCAGCGTCTCCACATCAGTGACTCTTTCTTCCTTTAGACACTGTAAAAAAGTGATGTTTGTTTTTAGCCTTTGGAGCTGTTTGTTGTTAAATTCTACTCAGTTTAATCACTGATAGCTGACGATTGTGTTCATCATGTCCTCCTCTTCTCCAGGCGTCCTTCCTCACAAAGAAGCTCAACATCACAGGGAAGAGAGTTAACCTGGCCATATGGGTAAGAGAGCCACAGCCTTTGTTGCTACTGTCCTGCCACTATTAAGAGCAAATGTTACTATGTCTATGCTTGTCTGCAGGACACAGCAGGTCAGGAGCGTTTTCATGCATTAGGTCCCATCTACTACAGAGACTCCAATGGAGCCATATTAGTGTACGACGTTACAGACGAAGACTCCTTCCAGAAGGTAACAACGTGCACGGGAATAAACGGCAGAAAATGTCCTCAGCAGCAAAATATATTCATATATCAAATATCAAATGTTAGATTATTGGACATTAAGTTACGTGATGTTTCTAATGAAACGTGGTTTGTTTCTGTTGCTGCAGGTGAAGAACTGGGTTAAAGAGTTGAGGAAAATGTTGGGGAACGAGATTTGTTTATGTATAGTAGGTAAGATATTGGTTCAACCCAACACTCATAGTGGCAAATAAACATGGTCAGTACAAATAAGTGGCTTTTAAAAATGAATGAACTCAGATTTTCTGCACAACAAATAAGGCGTCACTTCTAGATAGCAGGCATAAAGAAGTGATCTGCTACTGTGGCTGCTCTCACGTAGAAGACAAGGAACATTTATTGTTTAGCCTCTTTCAGCAACAGAGCAACAGCTTTCGATAAGAACATGATATAAAAGAAGGAAAAGTCAGTGTTAAAAGACAAAAAAATTAAAGAGAATAAAATTATTGTTTTCTTGAGTAATGTTCTATAAAACATTTGAAAAATGTCTTTCATTTTTACATCATCCTAGAGCACAGGTTGGTGTGACCATGTCTTGCTTTGGTTCAGTTTCCAAAAATCTTCAGTGTGCTATGATGTGCAGCGAAGAAACTGTCACGTTTCAAACCCTCGACACATTAAATGTTTGGCATTTTTTCTTGAAAGATTTTTGGGTTAATTTTATGTTGATAATTGATTAATCAGCTAATTGGTGCAGCACAAGTGCAGTGAGGGATGTGACTAAATTGCCTTCGATTAATTTTAAGTAAAGATTATGCTGAATGAAGTTTTACGCTTTGATTTAGAATAACTGGGAGTTGTTGTGGACCTCTGGGTTTCTGGCAGTTTGTTGGTAATATGTGGTGAATAAAACTGGATCAGCACAGAGCTGTGCTGGCAGCATTGATAGCAGAAAAACAAGTAGTTAAAGAGCTTTATTCATCTGCAGAAACACAGAATCTATCAGTCCATTATCTATACTGCTTATCCCAAACAGGGTTGGGGTGCTGGAGCCATGGAAAGACCTTCTATTTATACATTAAATAAATAACCCAAGTGGCCATTAGACTTGTGTAGGTCTGCCCAGTCTTCTCTCCTGTAGGAGAGTGGAAAACTGAACGTGTTGATTCCCAAAGTCTGACTGAATGTGTTTGCTTCTCTCTGCAGGTAATAAAATCGATTTGGACAAAGACAGGCATGTTTCAGTGGAAGAGGCTGAGAGGTAAAAACCTGCTGGAATTACTGAAACTGTGACTTTTACATGTTGAGCTACTCTGCTGTGAGCAGATGAACTCTGGTGGGAAACAGTGACACAGCTGGCATCAGCTCCCTGCTTCTGTTTTGTCTTTAGCTATGCAGAGTCAGTGGGAGCCAAACACTACCACACATCGGCCAAGTTGAATAAAGGCATCGAGGAGCTCTTTCTGGATCTCTGTAAAAGTACGACCACATGAAACACACCTAGCGCATGCTTCACACATAAACTGGACTGTTGGCATTTTCTAAAATCTAAAATATGAACGTTAGAGCTGAGCAGTGAGATCGGTTCAGTATCGCCATGCTTCACACATTCACCCTGATATAATGAGATGGTGTTTAAAGGATCATTCAGATTTGATAAAAGATGTGAGACTAAGCTGGAGTTTTACTCTTATTTCTGCTCTTATTTTTAGGGCTTTAAACTCCAGCACCTATTAAATGAAACCTAAACAGGACTAATGCTTGTAAAACCTGACTGGAGTGAACTCAAGCCACCACAGTAGAAGACAGTTTCCTGTCTTGTTATTTCAGGTGTGTTTTCACCTTTCTCTTTTGTGTTTTCAGGGATGATGGAAACAGCTCAGGCTGAGGAGAGATTGAAGGGCAACGGGGCCAGTCAATCAGCATCGAGCAGGCGAGGTGTACAGATTGTTGATGACGAACTGCAGGCAACGCCTGCGGGAGGGTGCTGCTCTTCTGGCTAACGCATACACACTTACACACAGCATACATGCTCGCACACACATTTGTCAGTGTCCCTGTTGTCAGGTTGGTTTGCTCTAAAACCCTAAAATAATCTGTGTTCATTCAACATTGTCTCGGCTGCAAAGGAGCATGGGAAATTACTTATTCAGTGTACCCTTTCAAAATAAAAGTAATGGAAGTCCTTATAATTGCAGTCAGTGTGATTTCAGTGACTAAATTCTCTAAAAATCGCAGTTTTGGCACTTTATTTACTCTACTGTCAGTAATTTGGAGCAAAGCAGCAACAGAAGTTGAGCTGATATTACAGACAACCACCAACAAAACACTGAAAGCCATTACACCTCCTCTCCCCTCTGACAGCTTTGTTAGTGTGTTTCATACTAAAAATTATTAATAAAACCATTTTGAAGAGGAACATTGGCAACCCAGGCTTCAGCAGAGATTTGTTTTGCCTATGTGGAAATCTCTCAAGGGCTTAAACATGCATCCAGGCATACAAGCCAACATTAATCTTTATCTAAAAACAGACACTGCTTTAGTCTTGGAAAACCAGAGCAGTTGCAGTCTGTGGTGCAGCAGCTTTACCTGCTGGACTGAAGTCAAACTGCAGCAAAATGACAAAAGCGGCCCAAGCTGAAGAGGTCAGAACTGAGACTTTACTTGGGATCATAGTAGGTTCAGGCTAATCAGGTCTGGTAGCTTCCTGTTGTATTTAGGGCTTTTAAAATTGATTATTCAATGGATCATTATGCTCACCCTAACATTCACTGATCAGGCCTTCAGCTGGACTTTCACAAAGGAAATGAGTGGTTACGATAAAGCAGAGCTCAAACAAAAAAGCATCATTAATGACAATTTATAATCTTGCTTTAGGTCTTCATATGAAGCAGTAACGTCTTTGAGCTGCAGGCCGATGTCTGGAGTTCATTTGAAGTTTGCATTTATAAGCCAATGAGATGTTTCAGTGCCATAGCGACAGTTTTAGAAGTACTGAATTCTTGAGTGCAGATATATACAGAGCACCTAAAAATACAGTGATCCGGAAATCTCTGTGAACCTTTAAAAACACAGCAGCTGGATCGATCAGTTGTACCATCCTGTCTACACAGGACAGGGTTTTTAGGGATGCTAAAATCAGGTTCAGCTGTTAGGGCGCCACAGTGCCTGGCTACATTTAGCTTTACATAATAACATCCCAGTGACATTCACAGATTAAAAACTTTGGAACAGGACAGCGCGGTTTCTGGATCAGTCCTCAGCATCATCTGATATCCCAAGTGATGACTGTTTTTGATTAACTCTGTTTATACTGGATAATCAACTAATTGTTTTAGCCCTAAGATGAAAAATCTGTTTATTGATGTTATGCAGCTCAAAGGTCTGCTTCTTCATCCTCCTCTCCCTCTACATCATGGTTTGTAAAACACACACTTTCCTGGACAGAGAAATAATACTGTGCATGTTTGATTTCTGTAAAAGGCTTTGTTTGTTGGACTTTTAAAGGAAATGGTAAATAAATGAAAAACTGAACAGATTGAGGTCACTTTTATTGGCCAAGTATGTTACACACACACAAGGAATTTGTCTCCAGTACAGACCTGAGGCATCTGTCAACTCACACACACACACACACACACACACACACACACAGAGAGTGGTACCATCCCTGCGAGACGCTGCGCTGGCCAATGGGAGCAACTTTGGGTTCGGTTTCTTGCTCAAGGATACTTTGACATGTGGACTGGGGAGAACAGGAATCGAGCTGCTGATATTCCGGTTGGGAGATGGATGGTGTACCTCCTGAGCCACACCCCACTGTTTTTCTACTGGGCCATTAATCTCTGCTTACTGAAAAACTCTGACATTGTGCAGAAAAACGTACTTACTTGATGTTTTATCTGTCTTTGCTGTAGAAGAAGAAGAAAGACTAATATGACCTGTCCTGTTTATTCTGGAATAATGGGAAAATGGTTGAAAAGGGAAAAAAATCAATTCACTTTTTGGAAATGTAACTTTTTAACTGCTGTTTTGAAAAAAAAAAAAAAATCAGTGATTTACACAATGCCTGGTGTCGCACACATTGCTCTTTCATTTAGCCTACTTCATTACATTTTCAATGTTCTGCTCTTCAAATGGGGGTTTACAGCAAAATGTTTGCATTTGTGCTACTCAGTAGTATTTCAAGTAAAGCCAGAGATGAATAGTGTACATCTCTTATGACCAGAATGGATTATAGCCTATTAGTGTTTTTCATTTAATTTTGTTGAGGTATTTGCAGCCATTTTGCCAACATGTCCTTAGTTCTTTTCACAAAGTGGGATATTGCGTTACAGTTAAAATGCCTGAAATCTCCAATTCGGAATTACAAGTTTTGGGGGCTGGCTTGGATGGTACTCACCACTTGTAATTGCAGTTTAATTGATATGCCTTGAATGCAGTATTAGCATTCCCGCTCATTTCAAGACGCACTCAAGATGCTTTCATAAAGCTCATTCAAGCCAGGTGTAGGTATGGGCAGGTAAGTTATTAGCTAGCTAGCCTAAGTTAGCAGGGCTGCTGTGTTGGGCTAGGATAGCTTAGCAGCATAGATAATGCTGTACAGGCTATATTAATCTGACCATTTTAGTTAATAATTGTGCATAGTGACTTGTCTTTATACTATTTAATTTGTTTCTTTTAAGTAATGCCTGCATTTTATTTTTATTTTTAAAATGAATTTAAGCTCAGGAGCAGATAATTTTGTTAGTAAATGAAGTCAGTTTAGGGCTTTGTGAGAGGAAGACATGACTTTTTAGGTGGCCTCTGTGCCACAAACTGTGGAGCCCCATTGACCTGAATGGATTAGGTTAGTGTTCAACTATCATTTTGGTGGCACGTTCGCAGGCATTTCACCAGCAGTTTGTTGACATGTCTATAGTTTGCCGTCATAAATTCACATCTCTGATTCACAAATCAGAGGCTGATGAGAGCAGTTTCTCCAACTTTATTTCCCCTAAAGCTAATTAAAATATATCCTGAATGCAGCATTAGCCATGCTAGCATGTGAGGCTGTAATAGGTGGAGGTTTTCCTGATTCTGGACCAGAACCTGGAAGTTCTGGTTTCACTTTGGCAGTCTGTTGGTAAAATCCAGGATCAGTGAGATTGTAAGTGAAACGTTTTATCAGTCAAGCAGAATAAACCCACCGCGACATATTATTCCAACATGTAAACTCCTCAGCTTTATCTGGCAACCCATGTAGGGGTCTTGAACCTCGTGTTGGTAATCATTTCCTTACAGAATGACCTAAGAGAGTTTGTGTTTGAAAAACTGCTCAGGTGAAATGTTCATTATTTCCCAAAATATTATATATATATAGATAGATAGATAGATAGATAGATAGAGAGAGAGAGAGAGAGAGGATTTACTGCAGCTGTTCATCAGTACTACTGTCGTGGAAGAAATCTACGTGCTAAAATGAACAACCTTCAGTGAGTGTGAAATGAAGAGGTTTTGCACAGATCTGTTCATTGTGTTATTTCTGCAGAAAGGAGCAAGCTACAACTGCAGTCAGAGTGGTCTGTTACAGAGGCTCAAAGAGCAAAAAGTATTCAGTCATATACACACACACACACACACACACACAAGTTTCAGGGAGAAAGATAAAAGGTATCGGTTCTGATAACACACATACACATACACCCTCATTATAAAGACGTCTTTGTCCTGAAATGGTACAAGATGGTTGTCAGAATCAGGGAGTGCATACTTTTTCAAGGACATTTTATGCCATCTTTTTGCTGAGCAGAAAGTTCAGATATTCTGTGTGGACAGAGTTCACCACAGTTTAAGGCATAAAAGAGCAAGTTTTCCATTACAACTACAGTAGTTCATATTGACACACAGAGTTCCTTTTATTGTTTTTTTTTTTTTTTTTTTTTTTACACCTTTATCCAATCTGTTCTACTCTGTGCCTGAGTTCACACCAGAAGAATCAAACATAAAAACAATATTTCCCTTACCTCCTTAACAGAAATTGGCCTATTTCATTGGTTAACACAACTTTCTAAACATTCATTTTTACCAACACTTTGTTGCCTTTTTTTAATATATATAGTCTTCATGATAAAAATAGTTAACATCTTTTCCCTCTAAAGCTTTAACAGCACTTAGTTTTCAAAATAAAAGCCTCAACTACTACAAATTTAACTACATATAAAGCCAAGCAAGGTATAAAGTAACTGTGGTCAAAGCGGCGGCTTATACATAGTTCAGGGTTGGAAAAAAGTTTTAAGAATTTTGCTGTAAAAAACAAAAAATGCATCAGTTACTTTGTTTTACATCAGTGCTTCTGCAGGGTAAACTATGTTTTTTGCACTTATGGATTTTTATCAACCATTGGCTTGTTTCTGCTAAATAAAGTGAGAATTAGGATTTTTTTTCTGCATAGTGTATAAGAAATACAACAACCTTTAGGAGATTGCAGAAGCTGCTCTTCTAAAGTTTGAGTGGAATGAAGAGAACATCCAGATAGGATGTTGGTAGAGATCGTAATGTCAATGAGCAAAAACAAACAAAAAAAATACTTGTATCTTAGGATCTACTACAGAAAAGGATTGGGGCCAAAATCAATAGAAAAAAAAGTGAGAATTTATAGATTAAAGTCTCTGTTCAAATCTAATAACAACCTGAAGAAAGATAAGTGATCAAACTTTAAAACGGTATCAATGTTTCACATTTTAAGCAGCTCAGTTTCCACACTGATTTAAGGCACTTTGGACTTGCAGTTCTCTAATTATATAACCTTAGATTCAAGATAAACAAAGAAACAACGTAAACACCAGGACCTCCTGAAACTGTGCAGTGAGCTATCAGTATGGTGGTGGGTTGTGCAGCTCCTGGTATTTTGGTGGAGGCGTGGAGAAGATGGTGGGCACGGTCAGCATCATGGTGGGTCTGCTGCCGGAATTCATCTGGTGGATCATGATGGAGGACAGGATCATGCCCAGCAGCTGGAAGGAAGCACACAGAGTCCAGTTAAATATCATTATAGCACTGAGAATTTAAAGGATCACTCTGCTCATTTTACATGTCAAATGTAGTCTCGTTTGGTTCACGTATCTTATTGGTGTTCTCTGTCTGACAGCTCCAGTTGTTTTTACATTTCTGTTTGTGGACATATTTAACTACCTACACATATTGTTAATTAGTGAATTTCAGAAGCGTTACAAGGTGCATTTCGAACTCCAGACAGAACAGGACTAGCTGTTTAACTCTGGTCCTAGTCTTTATGCTGAGCTAAATTAGCCAACTGCTATTCAGGTGAACATCCCACTTCCAGAAAAATCACTGACATCATTAAAAATAAATGCTGTAAAACTCACCGCCAGCGCAGCCATAGTGAAGAAGATGCCCAACATGACATCTACGACAAGCAGGATGTAGTGCATGATGATGGGGAAGCAGGGCTGAACACAAGAGGGGGAAGAAAACATCATCTTTACTTTCTATAACAGCACAATGACAGGTTAAAAATCACTAAGCTGTTAGTTCCCCAGGCCCAACCCTAACCCTGAATGAAATTTAAGACTTTAATAACTCTGAAGGAAACTGGAATCAGTGCTTATCAGTACCTGCAGAAACCCTGAGTAATCAGCTGACAAACAGCTTAACTGTGTTTAGTTTGTCTTTAAAAGCCAATGTTCATACTGACCCTGCTGTAGACCCTGGTCTCTCTCAGCAGCATCTGATCGTGCAGAGAAAAAGGAAAATGTTATTAACCTGCAGTTACAAGTTGAAGCTGACACATGGTTGTGTTGATACTCACTCTGTAGCCGACTGCCTGACACATCTCCTCCTCCTCTTGTGAACTGCACAGACGTGAGTCGGGGATGTTGTCCTCCCAGTCTTGGTAGCTGAACAGACCACAGCAGTGCAGCTAAACTCCAGAGAAGAAGAAGAAACTGTCAGGAGGTTGTTGATCAGAGACAACAACTGTACGTTCCGATCCGACCCCAGCCAGCTGATATTTGGAAACATTGCAGTCTGCCTGTAGCTGTTCGACAGATAATTGAATCATAACGATTCTGATAACCGACTGATCAGGTTCAAGTCGTATTTTGAAGCAAAAATATCAGAACTATTGATAGAGCCAGCCTCTCACTGGAACTGATTAGGTCGACAGCAGTTTTTTAAATTCTGCTGCTGCTGCTGCTGCTTGAATGTATCCTTATACTGATGCATTTATGTGGATGGGAATCTATCTATGGGAGCTGTTTGTTATGGTGTGCAGTTAAATCCTCTGTTAACATTGACATTGTTCTTCTACTTATCACATTTGTCCAAAGAGTTAGTTTTCTGAAAAGACCAAAATCACAACTGAAATCAAAAGTACTGGAAGAGTCTTTTGAGTATGTTAGTTTTCAGTCTGTGCACAAAAGGTGTTTATTAAGAGAGTCAATTGCAACAAAATCTGAAAGGAAGAGGTTTAAAGAAATAGTGAAATTTTTGTTATTGCACATTTTAGTGAGGAGGACAATATTAGGAAACTAGATATTTAACTGTGACTCATCTACTGAGCTGTCTGACTTTTATTATTCTGAAGTGTGAATGAGGAAGTGACAGAACAGAAGAAGAGGGCAGTCAGGCAACTTTCTTGTTAAACCTGTGGCCTGACAGTTTGCCAGTTCCTCTGTAAGGCATCAAAATAATCTGCTTCCTCCTGATTAGCTGCATTTCTGCCTGACAACACAGCTGCCAGCCAATCAGACGGCCCAGAACACAACTGCCTGCTATGAATTCCTATTTTTAGTGGAAGCTGATAAAAACAGCCTCCTCTGTACCTGCAGCAGGTGTGTGTGTGTGTGTGTCTTACCCCTGCCTGCAACCCATCAGCTGTGTTCTTCACATTATCTGAAGCTTTGTCCAGGGGCAAGACTGAGCGCAACTTCTCCTCCATCCAGCCTTTCAGCTACAAACAGGTTTATACAGATTATTGGCGGAGCTCAAACAACACGATCACAAACATTCAACCAATCTTTAAAAACCATACTCAGACCAGCCACTTCAGTTTATTTGATTATCACTGAAGATTTGTACTTTTTCATATCTGTGTGTCGTATTTTATGCATTTTTGGTTCCTGGCTGTTTTGTTCTTTGTTAAATTAACAAAATTAGAAGTCAGACTTATAGCCGAGTTTGTGTTTAAAAACACAGGTTGGGTGAGGGCAGTTTACAAGAAATTAAATGGACAGAAAATTAGCTTAAATGAACCTGGACCCCTTAGGTGCTCTGAGGAAACAATGCCGTATTTAGTTTAATTTTTAATCTCACGGATGCAGGTGATTTCACTGGTTTCTGTCAGGCTGCAGTAGAACCAACAATAGAGTGACAGCAGAGCATCTGGGTTGTTACCTCAGGGCGGGCGAAGGCAATGGGGACTCCAACTCTGAGCATCAGCAGACATCCAATCACCATGCACACCAGGAACTGCAGAGAGATAAAGCATCACAATCTGATGTCAAATCAAGTCAAGATTTTATTTGCCATGTATGGATAAACAGACAGTCTAGGCATATAGGAATTCTTGTGCAGCTCTCTGTGTTGAAGCAGAAACAGTGTGGAATGCTGCTGGAATGTTTCTCCAACATGAGGAGGCCCAGAAATCCACACACTGCATCACCGTGTGGCAGGAAAGCTGCTAAAAATCAGAGGAAATCATATGCAGTTTGGACTGAAAATGTTTTTGAATATCTGCGGAAGAAAAGTGAGTCGATAAAGAGGTCAAAGGCCTGATTCAAAAGTAAAAGAAAGGATACTACATGACGATACAGGCCTTTTCCATCTGAGCAGCAGTCTACAGTGTGTTCTGACAACAGGGATTATCCATTTACATTTCATAATGACATGCTGGTGCTCTGCTCATGGTGAACAAGCTCAGAGCCACCTGCTCTATAATGTTCATTAAAATTACTTTTTAAAACGGTGCAGCTTTTTACATTGTACAATTAATCTTGTTAATTTCCCAACTCTGTTCAGATCATGCATATAGTACAGGAGACCGGATTACTAGGTGGTGCCTGTTCAGGCCTGTGAAAGTTGTTCTTCATGCTTCAGGATTTCAGCCATAAAAATGATGAGGATGTTACTGCATTTCATTGCCTTGTACATGGGTAATGATAATAAAGTTGGATCTAATCTCATGCCTCTGCATTTCTGAGCCCATCAAGCAGAGTTTCCCGCCCGTCAAGTCATCTGACTTCCTGTTGGCTCCACCTACACATGAATAGGATAAAATAAAAATATCCTACAGCTCAGCTAGACTTTTCATATGATACTGGACCCAATAGATAGTTGTAACCTATTCTATTGAGCTGCCTCTTAAACTCTCCTGTTGGATTTGAGCTCAAATGTATGGAGCTTTTATTGTGAAGGGCAAGACCGGAAGTGTGGAGGAGTTTTAGCAAGAAAAAAAAAAAAAAAAAGGATAATGTCCCAGGTTGGCACTACGAAGTCTCCGTGTCATTGTTTTCTAGTGTTAATAAGTAAAGGCATAAGTCATAACGCTTGGCTACGTTGGTGGCAGGGGTGGGATTCAAACCCACACTCCTGAAGAGAGCGGAGAGTTCGCGGGGCTTGTGATGCTCAGAAAAATTCAGTTATACACCATTTTACCTGTTCCAATGATGTTCTATGGGAAAAATGTTTTTTGGACCAGCGCATGTCACGTGGTGATTGTGAAAGTTGTAGTAACGTGGTTTGGCCCCGGTGACAGATTTGCTCCACAGCCCAGAACTGATCCTGGGGGTTTGGTTCAAATCCATAGTATATTGATTATATACAGTCTACATGAGTCTCTAGTCTATTTTAGACTCTTTTCTACTTTTTATGTTATATTTTTAAAGTTATTTTGCCTTCAGAGTCCAATTAGGTTTTGTACATAATTTAATAATTTTGCCTTTAATTGCAAAATGTTCCTGACATACCTGGTTGTTTCGGTGCAGTGGCTGTAACATTGCAGTTCTCCTCTGGAATTGATAAAATACTCTAGCTCTTTACCTGTCTGTCCATCCATCTGATTGGTTTAAGAGGTGAAATGAAACCTTTTTAAGCCCCGACTGTAAATTAGCATTAGAAAAATGTGCTGCTCTGTAGGTGAACCAACAGGAAAAACAAGCCTCACAAAACTTCCTGTCCTCATTACCAGATTTACATATACTATAATGCTGTACAGTGCCTTGCGAAAGTATTCGGCCCCCTTGAACTTTGCGACCTTTTGCCACATTTCAGGCTTCAAACATAAAGATATAAAACTGTAATTTTTTGTGAAGAATCAACAACAAGTGGGACACAATCATGAAGTGGAACGAAATTTATTGGATATTTCAAACGTTTTTAACAAATAAAAAACTGAAAAATTGGGCGTGCAAAATTATTCAGCCCCTTTACTTTCAGTGCAGCAAACTCTCTCCAGAAGTTCAGTGAGGATCTCTGAATGATCCAATGTTGACCTAAATGACAAAGGATGATAAATAGAATCCACCTGTGTGGAATCAAGTCTCCATATAAATGCACCTGCACTGTGATAGTCTCAGAGGT